AAGTGGGTATAAGTTCAATTGTGACCCCAGAATCGGGTATAGATGCAAAATCCCTTCATAACATTTGTGTAGTTATAAGGCTTTTGAAATTTATGGTTTTATGAAGTGCAATTTTCCACTTCAGACTTATTGGCCTTAAGTGCATGAAACCATTGGTTGCACTTCATACCTATTTGTTCTTAAGTGCATCTGAAGTGTAATTGTTTTACTTCAGACTAATTTTTTTTAACTTCTGACCCGATAAGTCTGATGTTGATCATAAAGTGGGTATACTTGCAATTTTTTTTGCAAAGTGGGTATAAGTTTAACTGTGACCCCAAAATCGGGTATAGATGCAAAAGCCCCTCATAACATTTGTGTAGTTATAAGGCTTTTGAAATTTATGGTCTTAATCATTCCATAATATTTTTGTGGTTATAAAAACTTTTTATTAAGGGTACCATAAGAAGTTTAAGCTAAATTATTTTCAAATGACACTTTAGGAGCACTTTTTATAGTTCCTACCTTGCACAAATGATATTTTTCTTATATTTATAAGTAATTTAACTTTGATTCTTTATTTTATCATTAATAAGCTAATTTATAGTCGTACAAATATTTTAAATGTTACACCCCATATTTTCGTACGTGGAAGTACGCCATAAGTAAATTGATATAAGCTCGGAAATGAGATGTTACATTCTGCATTTTCGTATGTTAAAGTTTCGTCGTAAGTTAATCAACATAAGTTCGAGAATGAGATTATTTTGAGATTATAAGCATTATGCGATTTCAAACAAGTGATAAGTAAATTCGTGAATGTGAGAGGGTAAAGAAATCGAAGAAAATGAATTTCGTCAAAGTTTGTCAATTTGGATAAAATACGGCCATAATACCCGGTATTTATGGACTAATGCCATACAAGATACCATATGACTATGATAGTGAGTAGTATTTTAAGTAATTTGAGAAAAATCTTAATTATGTGGATAATTGATTAATTGTGGGAATAATTATAATTAAGTGGATAATGATTTTTTTGGGGCTGCCACTTGGCATCAATCTAAGCCAAAGTGGCACTAATAGGCATGATGAGTCATAAGGCATGAGATGCCTTTGTTACACGTATAAAATTCTTGGATTGATAAGCTAAGCTAAGCTATTCTTGGTCTCTTTATTGATAAGAACGTGAGATTGGCATCTTAAGAACATATATCAATTTAAAGAGAGATTTGGCATGTTAAGAGAGATACATATATCAATTTCAAACCAGATTTCATTTCATCTTAAGAACGTGAGATTTGACAATTATAAAGGAGTACGGTGTAATCTTTCTCAAGAATATCATACGGATTTTTCCTTACTTCAATCCGTCGTTATGTATTGTCGCAATTGACGTGTGTTAAAGGGATTGTCAAGAGAATCGGCTCAGGTATGTTAAGGCTATCCCTTCTTTCTTTTTGGCATGATCCATACGATACAAACAAAATGAGCAAATGCACAATTTCCATAAATGACTATATTCATAGAAGTATTAGAGGTGTCTATGTTCTTGAATTTCCATGTGTCATATTATTCTATCATCTGTTCATGAGTTCAGAAAATACGTAAGTTGATAAAGTTTACCTCATGCTATAATCAAAGGTATAATGGTCTTACGACATTCCGAAAGATTTTATTGACGTACTTCTCATGCATTGCATTCATATATACATGTACATTGACCCATGACCAGATGGCGTTATATACGCGTATATATGTATATCTATATGTATATGGGATATGGGAAAAGGTTACGGCGTTATATACGCACCACCACCTGATCAGCTGGCATACGTTGATGATTTTGCCCATAGTGGCTGAGATGATATGATGGGATACCCTCAGAGGTTTGATGATGTTATGAACACATGTACCTATGCACTACATGACATTCATACGCATATGCATGACACTATAAGTATTTCATGATTTACAGAGTTATCCAGACTTACAGGTTGAATCATTTACTCTATATTTCTTTCATGTCTTTTATGTACTTATTTATGTGCCTTACATACTCGATACATTATTCGTACTAACGTCCCTTTTGCCTGGGGACGCTGCGTTTCTTGCCTGCAGGTCCCGATAGACAGGTCGAGAGCCCTCCAAGTAGGCTATCAGCTCAGCGGAAGATGTTGGTGCGCTCCATTTGTTCCGAGGTTGCTTGTTTGGTCAGTATGATTTAGACGCGTATTGTTTGGTATGGCGGGCCCCTGTCCCGACCTTTATGTTAAGTATGTACTCTTAGAGGCTTGTAGACAGATGTCATGTTTATGAATGCTTGTAAGGCCTTGCCGGCCTATGCTTTGAGTTTACAAATGATCATGTTGGCCTTATAGGCTCGTATATCACATGTATAAGTTTTTATATCAGGTTGGGTCGTCCTATATTGAGTATTCCCCTATGTTTATTCCGGTTAGCCCATGGCGGCCCGTTTGGCCCATTTGCCAATGAAAGTACAATAAGAAAGATATGTTATGTTGGTACTCGATTAAGTAAGGTACCGGGTGCTCGTTGCGGCCCATAGGTTTGGGTCGTGACATTAAACCATAAATTTTTAAATGGCGAAATACATAAACGGCCCCTTCAAGTTGTCCTCAACGACCAACTGAACACCTCAACTGAGCCTATTTTCAATTAGACACTTCAAGTGGCAATTAAGTAGGTCAAGTAAACACCTGAGTACAGCAGACCATATGCGTGAATTGCACTTGCCAATGACATGTCAAATGGACCAATCAGAAAATGCACGTGTAATTTTGCCATAAAAATTTGACACATGTAATTAACAAAAAATATACATTTAAAGAAACTTTTTTATCATCTCCTCTTTCATTTTACATAGCAGCCGCCGGCTCCTCCATTTCTGCCGCATCACCACCAATCGCCGTCTTCGGAGCAATAAATTCTTTTCGCAAAATGGCATGCCATTGGTGTCTGAATATGACGATAAAGAAGAGCAGAAGAGGAAACTCCATTCTTTTGACGAGAGAGAGTAAGAAGAACCAGATAGGTTAAAAAATTTCGGCGGCCTTCATTTTTTCCGTCGAAATTGGTTGTTGTGTCTTATAATTGGATGGATATTTTTTCCGATTGGTTGTGTTTGAAAGTGGTTGTTGTGTCTGATAAAAATTTCCGGCAGCCTTCCTATATTATACATCTACCAAGTGTGGGCGATCATTTACTGTTTATTGATTATACTTATACGTTAAACAACATTGTCATTTTAGTATTTAGAGGGATAGTGTAAAATTTTGTTTGTTTGGAAGTTTATGTTCCCCATTTCAAATTGGTTGTAACGGAGGAATTTAGGGTTGAGGAGGATGTTGAATGGTAGAGGAGAGAATTGGAGGAGAAGGGGGTATGAAAATTAGGTGGGGTCCACATTATTTTAGTAAAAACAAAAAAAGAAAAAACCTAATTTTAGGTTGGCAACTCGCGTCCTAGAGAGTGGATTTCACGCAATGGAGGCTGACATGGTCGGGTATTTACTTGACCTACTTAATTGCCACTTGAAGTGTCTAATTGAAAATAGGCTCAGTTGAGGTGTTCAGCTGGTCGTTAAGGACAACTTAAAGGGGGCATTTATGTATTTCGCCTTTTTAAATTCTTTTTTTTTCTTAAATTTCGTACCCTGTCAAAGTGCATCATATAAATTAGGTCGGAAGGAATACTTATTTTAGAAAGTTGTGGTGTTAAGTCAAAGCTTTTAGTATATATTTAAGTACTTTTGAATAATAACATAAAGTGAAGAAAGTAATTTTTGTCCAAAAGCACTGTTAAAACCTTGATCATGCAAAAATTATTGTTCTAATATGAATAAAAATATTTTTTAAATTAACTAACTAAACAAAAATACTTTTCAAATTAATTATTTTGAAAGCTTGACCATCAAATTGTAGGCCATCTTTAATCGCTATAGTCAAAACTCAAGAGAAGGTGATTTTTTTTCTTTTCACAAGAGAGAAGGTGCATTTGCAACGAAAAAATGCACGCCCACCGTGGGGCTCGAACCCACGACCACAAGGTTAAGAGCCTTGCGCTCTACCAACTGAGCTAGACGGGCTTTTGTTAATTTTTCTTTAGTTGTATTTGATCTTTCAAACTAATAGTACTATGTATCAATGTTGATGTTTATATTATTAAATTTGGTAACTGAATATTTAATATTTCTTACTAACTGAATAATATAGAACTCGGGAGAGTTTTATCCTTGCTTTTACTCGGCCAATCTGGTGCGAACATGAATTAGATGTTTCAATGACTTTTGAGTTCTTTGAGTATCCACTGAATAAAGCAAAAAAGAAAAAATTATAGTCATGGGCATTGTGCTAATATTTTTGTTATCCTGCTTTTGTTGGTTCTATTTTCGTGTTACTGTTCCATTTACATAGTTTATACACTATTTTTTTTGGATATATGATGTAACTATGCTTCACCTGAGTCGACACTGCTAGAAAACTACTTAAAATCGTCCAAAAATACCGACCGAAGCTGGTCGATTTCGTCAAAAAAAATATATTTTGAAAAACCGACCTACTTCGGTCGGTTTTTCGGTTGGGTTTTTGACCGACCGAAGTCGGTCGGTTGGCCGCGGTTGGTTTTAGCCGAATTTCTAGTAGTGCTAGTGTCTATCAGAAACAACTTCTCAACCTTCACAAGCTAGGCGTAAGACTTCTTACATATTAACTTCCCCATACCCCACTTGTAAAATTACATTGCGATTGTTATAGTTGTTGTTGTTGGGCTTTGTACTAATACATCTTTCTCGAGTTTAACGTGTCTTGTCCATTTCAAGCATTGGTCCAGTAACATGAATCTCGGTTTTCTCTTTCTTTGTCCTTGTTTTTTCCCCAAGCAGTAAAAATAATGAACAAAAAAAAAAAGGAAAAATATTTCTGATACATTAACCATTTTTCACGCAACCACGTTAAACATCTCAAACAACTACCTCTATCACGAAGCAACCACCTTAAAAGTCCCAAAATTACTTCCTTTACTATGAATCTTTTGACTTCCTTCATTCCTTTCTCTTTCCATATGTTCATACATCCAATCACATTAGATGAAAAACAATTTTTATAAAGTTAGATATATATTTCAGAATTCACTTTCTCATTTAGAACTCACAACGTCTAAATTCTAATATCGTCTGTTGTTTATATGTCGGAAAGACATCTCGGACAAAGAATTCCAATGTGCGAGAGAGCTATTAGTAGCAGTGTACAAAAACCGTCATTGCCCACGCGACGAACATCAAAGCAGCATAGGAATAAGAGAAAAACTATAGAAAGATGTAAATCTGAGCCTTGTCTTTGGAGGGTTAATGGAGTTGGTGATAATGAAGAAGATCGTCGAGATATGACGACGTCGTTGGAGGTTCTTTTCCGGCCACAAACTTGTTCATATATATTTTTTTCACCGGATTATTTGAATAATGTTTCATCTCCGCAGGGTTAGGGTTAAGATCGCGTACATCTTACTCTCCCAGGCTATTACTGAGTTTGTTGTTGCAAGGGTCTTTTTAGAGCCCGTTTGGCTTAGCTGATTTAGAGTAGCTGATAAGCATTAGGTGCTGAAGCTGATTTAAAAAATAAGCAGTTACGTGTTTGGATAAAAGTGCTGAAATTAATAATATGCAGCTAAAGAATCGGTATACGAAGAGTTTTGTTTTTAAAAAGAAGTATTTTAGGGATAAAATAGTAAATATTTTGGTCAAACTTAAAGTGCTTATAAGTGAAATTTGATAAGTTGAGGGAGACCAACTTATGGCTTTTGGCTTATTTTTGGCTTATAAGCACTTAACTTATAAGCACTTTTAAATTTTACCAAACGCGTAGATAAACCAAAAAATGCTTATAAGCCAGTTTGACCAGCTTATAAGCTTAGCCAAACACCATCTTAGTTGTTGGCTATTTACATAACACTGGGAATTTTTTTGTGTTAACCAAATACTAGAAAATGATATAAATCTGTCACAACAAATCTCTATACATAGGAATGGAAATGATAGTTACGTTGCTATTCATACATAGAGAAGAAAAAAATTTAAAACTTTGGTAAAACTTACTCTCAAGACGGAAGTAAGAAGAGTATAATTTTATTGATGACAGTTTGGTGCAGTAAACTTTCATTCTGTAAGGGTCGGCGGGGTTAGTGGCGAAGCCAGTAATTTTTCCAAAGGTGTTCAAAATTGAAAGAAGTAAATAAAATCTCCGGCAAAAGGGTGTTCAACATATATTGTATGCATTTAAAATCTAATATTTTACCTATATACGCAGTAATTTTCCGACGAAGGGTGGTCAATTTGACAACCCTTACTAGAATGTAGCTTAGGCCCTGGTCGGGGCAAGGGTCGGACAGTATCTTAGTATGCAACCTTATCTTATATTTTTGCAAAAGGTTGTTTCTATGACTTTGTATACATACCCTGTGATTTCTAAATTCCATAAAATTTAACTTAGGTGCAGGGGTACAATAAAGATGCAAAAGTTGTGATTAATGTCACAGTTGAGGGCACTCCTGGACCAATTCGAACCATGGTTAAGTTAGGATCCAGTGTGGACGAGACCATAAGATTTGTGCTAAGCAAATATAAAGAAGAAGGTCGCAATCCTCATCTTGATGAAATTGCGCCTTCATCATTCAAATTATACTCTTCTTACTTCAGTCTTGAGAGTAAGTCCTACCAAAATTTTAAACTTTTTTTCTTTTCTATGTATAAATGGCAACTATCATTACCATTCCTATAGAGATCTCTTGTGATCAGACGTAGATTCAGGATATATATTTTATCAGTTTAACATGTATAGACTCATAGTATTGAGTCCGATATATATAAAACTTATGATTCAGATCTACCATTTGTTGAAATTTTGATGAATCTTTACACATAAAATTTATGTTCCGCGTCGAAAGTTATGGGTTCAGATGAACTAGACACCTCTACTCTACATCCGTTTTTGTCTACCATCTTTACATCATTTTTAGTGTTGAGTTATGGAAAAGATTTTCTTAAAATGGGAATAATGACTTCCTTCACTTGTTTGGTAATCCAAAGTCATTTTTCTTACAACTATCTTTAACTCTTTTAACCTCATATCACTTATTTCAACTAACACTTAACATTACTATTAATCTTTAGGAGAAAAAATTTCGTCAAACTCTCTCTTATTTGATACAATTATTAATCTTTAATATGCACTTTTCCACAAAAGGTTTTCCACTTATTAGTCAAATAATTTCCAAAAAAATATTTTCTATGAAACTTTTGTTGTACCAAGCACATCCTAAATTGTATGCACATTAAGTGTGATCATATTATTGGTTAATCATAATGTTTTAAAATTCACTTGCCATGGGTAAAATTTGTCTTTCAGTAGTATAATTATTTTTTTATTATGTCTACAAATAGGCTTGAGTAATTCAGATGTGATTGGAGATGTGGGGAGCAGAAGCTTTTATCTTCGCAAGAATAATAGTAAAGGAAATAATTCAAGAAATGCAGAAATAGCAATGGGGATTACTTCAATGGAGGCAAATTCTAATCCAATTCTTGTTGTGATCAATAAAATTATTAGAACAAGCAAGCTTTGGAAGTTCCTTGGTTGCATACAGTGTTTTGGATAACCAGTTAAGTCGGAGGCGAATATAGTGCAGATTCAACAGGTTCAACTGAATTCACAATGCACTTTAATTTCAACTTGAATATCTATACATATGCACAAAAAAATGTAAATATATCAAAATTCACATTTATTATGATAGTTGATCATGTCATACCTTAAAATTATTGTTAGAGTAACATGAGTATTAGATTTGGGTGTACGCAGAATTTTTTTAAGTGGTGTCACATAATCAACGACTAACAATTTACTTTAACAATATCGTATTTAAAAAATACCGTTCAAATTCTTCTAATAATAAACCACAACTCAGGTATATTACTACAACTCTTATCGATGAGTTTTCATTTTAGAAATATATCAAAATAACTTCATTAGGAATAATATTAAATACTTTTTAATATAAAGAACCAAACAATCACACAAAATTTTATCATTTATTTGATTCCACAAATCGTTCTTAATCAATTTCATGCCGCGAGAGAAGACGAAAGGAGAAAAAGAAGATTAAAAAAACTTGGAATATCAGCCAAATAATTTATTAACACTAGATTAACCATGACTCCTAACATATCAGATGCTCTCTAATTACATAATAGGTTAGTCGGTAAAAATAGCACAGTCTAGCCAGTTTTCGATTGGTCATTCAAAAATAGCCAGCGTTTACCAAGTCAATGAAAAATAGCCACTATTTTGCTGCAACAGAGACCGGTCCAGCATAATATACTGGAGTTCGGTGCACCTGTGTATGAACTTCCAGCATATTATGCTGGAACTGCAACACACAGAAAGTTCCAGCATAATATACTGGAGATTCAAGCACTTGTGTATGAACTTCCAGTATATTATACTGGACCGGTATGCTGGAGTTCTAGTGTACTTATGCTGGAACTCCAGCATAATATACTGGCGTATTTTCCGGATTTTGAACAGTGTTTTCGCTCAGATTTATTTTTACATGAAAAGTGACTAAATTTCGATTATTTGCTAAATGGATTGCTTCTTTCCTTCTTACTGGTCTTATAACATTCAAATGCACATCTTAAAGATGTGAAAGCACGTTTAACTTATTAAGAAGGATGCGCGTTGCCGCGAGGTGTGAAGTGGAAGAGAATGGATGTGGTAGCCAAATTTATGATGCTTTTTTTTTTGTGTACACCTAATTGATCCAATTATTTCATATTCGCGCCGATATGGAGTCACTAATAGAGATAAAGCGCTCCCTCCTAAAAAAAATTATTACACCTTTTACGTGTTGTCAAAGATTTGAACAATGAAAATAGATGACGAATGCTTGATCGAATTGATCACTGTCATATAGGAACAAGGTTCAAGTGTATCGGCCTGTTATAAATCTGCCACGTCTACAAAAAAGCAAATCATGTAGCAGATGTCCTAGCAAATAATAAAATACTGTTATTTACTAATTAAAAATCCAGGCAACTATGTGATTAAAAGAGTTGACTTTTAATTTAATTAATATGGTAATTAATAAATTAATATGGTATAAATTTCTTTAAGAATTATTGAGACTCCTATCTGATCGATAAAACTATTGACAGCTATCTTCTAGGAACGATTCCGGCTCCGTTTCAGAATTAACAGGGGGCGCAATACGCACACGGCGTTCCGATCACGATCTCCAGTTATAATCCACTCTTATCGTGCGCCAGTAGGTAGAGAATGGGAGAAGTGTGGACATGGCTACTTTTCTTCTTCATGGTCATAGCTATACTTATTATGGTTATTTTTCAGGTTAATTTCCTTAAACCCTTACATTATTTAACCTTTTTGGAGCAATATTTTTACTTATTTGACTTTATGCTGCATCCTTGTATTGTAATTGTTGATATGTTTTTCGAATTTAATTTCTATGCACGGGCGCTGTAAACATATTTATATTTTATACAATCAAGTCATTTATTTGGTAAATCTTATTATAAGTATTAATTGGTAATCTAGTCATAAAAATGGTAACTTATCTGCTATCACAGGTGAAAAGTCAATGATAGTGTAAAAAAATCTTTACACTGACTTAATTCCTTTTCTAATATATTGTAACTATTACTCCCTCCATTTTATTTTAGGTAAAGAATATGATAGAACGCTGTCGAATCTTATGGCCTTAAATTAAAGGTGTGTATAACATGCAAAAAATACCTATTAAGGGTAAAAATGAAAATGTTGAAACTAATTACTTACCTAGATATAGGAAAATGCTATGTTGCTCGGACTCTTCAGAAATGTTGTCGGGTGCATGCAGGGGCGGAGCTAGAGTGCTGCTACTGAGTTCGGCCGAACCCAATAACTTTGGTTCAAACTTTATATTTCTCTTACAAAATTCATTGAATATATATATATATACTAATTAATTTAGAACCCAGTAACTTAAGGCGATTAAAATCCCGAACCCATAAGCTTGAAATCCTGATTCCGCCTCTAGGTGCATGTTGGATCCTCCAAAGGTAGTGTATTTTTGGATGATCCGACATAGGTGCGGCAATAATTTTGGAGAGTCTGCGCGACTTAGGAAATATGCATTCTTTTAAACACATTAAAAAGAAAAGTATGTCACATAAATTGAAACAGAGGGAGTAAGAAAGCAGTTTTGGAGTTGAATTTTCTACTTTAAATTTAGAAGTTCTCATAAGTAACTAAGAGATAAAGGCATTGTCTTGTTAGTTTGGATTAAGGCTTTGCTGTTATTGTCACACATACATTGCGTCTTGTGTTTGCAGTGAAAATTTTTATACTGGTTAGAGACTTTATTAGTCCTTTGTAGGGGTAAAGGTGAGTTTTTTAGAGAGCAATTAGTTTTAAGGAATATCCAATTTACCTTAAAAGAGAGATTATTGAATACTGGAATGTAATGGGGCTGAATAAAGCAAACTGATATATAGAATTCATGTAGTTGATCCCAACTAGTTTGCGACTGAGGCCTAGTTGATCACTTGATTGATTGACTTAGCTAAAAGGCTTAAGTTCCCGAGAGTAAATATTATGTCTGGACATTGCTTCATATCAATCGTGTGAAGGTTTCAGGAGTATTTTGTTGCAACGGACAATAGAACTTAGTCTTGGAATTACAGTTATTCTTAAGTTGGCTGCTAAGGTTTGTAGAGGAATCTGATCTTCTTCAGCTATTCGTGGCATATGCTATATATTTGTATCTAAGGTTTTCGTAGCGGCTAATATGCAAAACAATATCTGCATCTCTATATTTGACAATGTTTGCACTCCAGTGTGGACTCCGAATCCTCAGATACTCTGCAATCACATTCTTGTTCCAAAAACTATTCGACTGTTACTATTATTTAACCAATACTGCTGTGAAGTCACGCGTATTTCTGTTTATAACTTGAAGTCTGACAATTTGATATTCATTGCAGCTCATTTGCTTAAGTGATCTAGAGTTTGACTATATCAACCCATACGACACTGCAGCTCGTGTAAACAAAGTTGTTTTACCTGAGTTCATCACGCAAGGAGTTTTGTGCTTCCTCTACCTGATTACAGGGCATTGGGTTATGTCGCTTTTATGCGTTCCATATCTATACTACAATGTCAAGTTGTAAGTTCTCTTTTCCTTTAGTGCAGTAGAGAAGTTAAATTTCTTCATGCATTTATGTTAAAGAAAAAAATGATGTGGCGGCATGGTTCATTATATACAAATTACCATGTTGATCTTAAACTTTCTTTTAGGCTTCAACTATATTATAGATGGATTAGGTCATGTTCCTCCATCTATGCACATTCTTTGTCACTGTATGCAGTATTACTCCCTCCGTTTTATTTATGTGGCACTATTTCCGTATTAATCCATTTTAAGAAGAATGACAAATTTCTTTATTTGGAAACACTATACCTTTAAATTTCCCATTTTACTGTCAATGGCTTGCTATCTCGCGGTACGTTTAAGATTGCAAATTCCAAAAGTCTTTCGTTCTTTGTTAAACTCCGTAACCAGTCAAACTACGCTACATAAACTGAGACGGATATTGTTGATAGTTTACGTGTGTCTTCATTTGTCTATTATTCCTTTGGATGGAGGTCGGATGAAGATGTTTCTTTGCTAGTTTTGCTTACACTAAAACATTTTTTAGGCTTTGTTAGGAGCTAGTATTAAAGTTTGCATTCAACGGACTCTTCTGCTTCTTGTTCGGTTCTTTAGTCTACTTGTTTGAGATATAGTTTTTTAGTCTTAAGGTGCATCGAGTAGCGAATCTAGGTTGTAAAGCATCGACCTTGTCCTATCTCAAGTTAAATCAGGATAGCATGCACTCGGGCAGGCTCAAGTGTAGCATATCTTTGCAGTTCTAGATTTCAATTCGTCAACGTATCTACTGCATTAAAGCTTTAACTAATGCAGGGACGAGTCTTGAACTCCGAAAGTCTAAGTTCTCTTGATATACTATTAAAATTCAGGTCTTAACTCCTTACTCAAGCCTTGTGTCCACTAATGATGCTGAAGAAGAGAGCACTTAGTTGAGAAAACTTGGGCTGTAGAGAAATAAACTAAGTTTACATTGGTTTTTGTTACCTTCGACGAAGTTTATAGGGGAATGGTGTCTGTGGTGGCTTTGAGATGAACAGATCCTTACAGTTTTCGCGCTGATGGACTGCTTGAGCTAGGTTGGTTAAATTCTGTTCATCTCATGCAAAGGTGATGCTACTTCCTGCTATTGATGAAAGTATTGCCAGTATTCAGTGTACTAAGTAAACCAAAAAGTTTGTAGCATTGCTTAGAGTTCTTGAACTACAGAATCGACTTGGCATCCGTCCGTAATCATCAAAGGAAATCTATGCAGCATTCTGCCATTTGCAGCTAGGGGCAGCGGCGAAGCTATGTGTGGCCAAGGGTGGTCAACTGAACATCCTTCGCTGAAAATTTATACTATTATAGGATAAAACATTACTTGTTATTGATAAAAAAATAGACTTTGAAAACCCTTGCATAACCCACTAGCATTTTGAATTTCTGGCTTCGTCATTGGCTAGGGGATAGGCCTTCTATTGAAATATTGACCTGCGGGTATTGTTCACTGGTGGCTTCAGATTTCCGAGAACGTGGCCCTTGATAGGAAGGTGTGGACGTCGAGCATTAGGGTGGTAGGTTAGGTGGTAGCTGAGCATTTTTCTACTTCGTTCCAGGTGGGAGACTGGTCTGATAAGGTTTTGTCATAGGCTGCTAGCGATTATTGTCGTGTCCACATTATTCTTCCGTTTTCATAGTACCGGGCCTTATTCATTGGTTTTTGTTATTGTTTTTCATCTATTTTCTGGTTCTTATGATGTTGCTATTATTCCTATGGTTCTGTTGATGGTACTTATATATTCTCTCTTTTCGTCTTCTTGAGCCGAGGACGGAAACAGCCTCTCTACCCTCCGGGGTAGTGGTAAGGTCTGCGTAACTCTACCCTCCCCAGATCCTACTTGTGGGAAGTCATTGGGTTGTTGTTGTTGTTGTTGTTGGGTATTGTTGACCGGCTTGTGTATTGATTAATACAGTAATCCAACAAAAAACTGGTATTTATTTGTAAGACTATAGTAAATGCACCCAACCATTAGGTGGTTAATCGTGTCTAGATTAATTTTTTTATGACTTGTGATCATATATTATTTGCTGGAAACTGTTACAACTTGTGTTTTATCAGATACATTTGATTATTACATAAAAGTCACGTGTAATCTTCTTGCTTTAGGTACATGCAAAGACGGCACCTTGTAGATGTTACTGAGATTTTTAATATGCTTAATTGGGAAAAGAAACAGAGGCTTTTCAAACTCGGCAACATCGTACTTCTGCTCCTCATTTCATTATTTTGGTAAGTTACTGTGTGCGAAGCTCTTTCTTGCTATCAGGTATTCTTTCACCTTCTTTAGCCGAGGGTCTATCGGAAACAGTCTCTCTGCTCTTCCAGGGTGGGGGTAAGGCTGCGTACATCCTACCCTCCCCAGACCCCACTTGTGGGATTACATTGGGTTGTTGTTGTTGTCGTACTGTGTGCAAAGCTCTTTGATTGTCAAAGCACCTCTAGTCTATGTTGTGCGGACTTCCCAACAATGTTGCCGCACCAGTGTCGGATCCTCCAAAAATGCACTACTTTGGAGGATCTGACACGCAGCCGGCGACATTTTTGGAGAGATCGAGCAACAGAGCTTCTAGTATGACACTGCCTAACCCCATATGTTCATTTTGTAGGGTGATTTATAGTGCCTTGGAGGATCATGATGATTTTTAGCTCTATTTCGACAAAGTATAATTGCCACCAACTCTGGCAAATCTGATTTTTGTTCTTTTGGTGTAACTTGGCCTGTCCTAGTTCATTTTTCTTGGAAGTTTAGAGTTAACTAATGGTAGATTAGGCAGCAGATCATCTTCTTATATGATTTGAGCTTCCTCTAACCTTGTTGCATTTTCAGCTTTTGAGCAACCATAGATTTTTTAGGATCCAGATATGCTGTGAGTTCCGAGTTCTCGGTCACAGAGAACCTGCAAGAAACAAAATTTTGGCTTAAAACTTGGTGTAGTTTGTCAATTTGTTAGATCCTTTTGTGTTTGATCTCCAGTTTTATTACATTGGTGAGATTTGAGAATGCAATTCGTAGGATGATGGATTTTAAGTTCCATTTTTCTCTCTTTTTTGACATTGAATTGGAACAAGACATGAGAATGCAATTCATTGATTTTATTTTGATTTCATCTTTTGTCCGCTTTGCCTAGGGGTGTTAATGATTCAGTTCTGTCGGTTATTTTATAAAATTTGTATTATACCAATTTACGGTTACTCTATTTTGTATAACTAAAATTAGACTTTTCAAAACCGTCCCAATCATATTGGTTTTTTTCTGCATCGATACGGTTCGACTAATTTTTGGTAACAATGTCCGTCCGTGTTTGCAACTTGCCATAGAAAAAGCTTAATATTTAAGTAGAGAAGGGTAGAAGGTGGGTCCACTATCCATGGAGTTCCGAACCACGTGTCGTTCAAGATTAGCTTTAAACAAACAGTACAAATAAGCATCAACCACTGATCAAGAAGACTATCAAAGCGAAAGTGCTTCAAAACTAAATTCCAAACTATCTAACTCTTACAAATGATCACATGAACACCACTATAGAATTGATATGACAAAGTTTGGCTTCACCTCTACAAAGCATTCAAGAAGTCTATTTGCACTTTGCAACAAAAATTAGTGAGGTTGAACTACTATATCTAGGTAATCTTTGAGCTATGTCATGGTTCATCTTCATGAGCTTTTTCGGCAGCTTCTATCTCCGAATCAAGCTTGTTGACTAGCTGCTCGCTTACATGTTTTGCCACAGATATCATGTCAAGTATGACACTAGGGTCTAATCCGGTGCCTCCTCGTTTGGTCAACCCACATACTAACCCTTGTCTATTAACAGATATAGAAACAGCCGAGTTCATTAGGGACTCCTCCTCTGAAGTTGCATCGACAATGTAGTGCCTTCCAACCTACAATTATTGACGGGAAAAGGTCAATGTCACATGTAGAGCGGCAGTTGCGCGAGAAAGCTCAAAATAAAAGGCTGGCTTCAATTACCTTTATCAAAGTAACTATGACTGGTATTCCGCTGGTGTCAAATTGCAGAAATTCGTCATCACTAACATCCACATCTGCTTGCTCATCGGATGAAGCAGCTTCACGAACCTGAACTCTCGGAATACCCGTATTGCTCAGTGCAGCCTGAAGAACATCAGGCATAGAGATAATAAGACATTATTAACAGATGCATCCATCGCCAAACTGCATCACTGCTCACTCACAATGTCAAAAGTCTCATTTAATATATTTTCTTTCTACATTCCCATCTTTCCTTGCAAAAGCTTCTTGATTAATCATAATCAGAGGCGGAGCCAAAATTTTAACTTAATGGGTTTTGGCTTTTAGACTTCAAGTGCTAATAACTAGGTTCAAACTTTTAACGTGTACGCGTTTAATCAATTTCTTAATAAAATACTGTGTTTGAACAAAGGCTACTAGGTTCGGCTGAACCCGTATCTAGGCTCCTACCTCAGCCCCCGGTCAGAATAAGGGGAGTAGTGCATTCATGTAGCATTCTCAAGTATCACAGCATCTCTAAAAACAGTCAAAGCAAGTAATTTTCATCCTCTTTTTCCTTGTTAATACATGATGACAAATGCTGTAGAGTATACCTTGATTGCAGCACCTAGTGCGTCCAGCAAATTCCCGCCAGAACTAATGACAAGGCAATCAATATACAGATCCCAACATACTTTTCCTTCTTTGATTGAGAGAGACAACGGATCTATTCCAGCCCCTGCGAAATGAAATACACCACAAGATTATCAAGTTGAGAGGCATACAAGTGTAACCTTTACATCTAAAGTTGGTCAATAGCTCTTGACATTATATTTTTTTTCATACAAAAGTCGGGTTTTCCTTTCCTTTTTAAAGTGAATACCTGCTCCACTTTTACCACCCAAAAGACACCCCTCAAGTGCAGCTGTGAGTTCTGCAGACAATTCCTCGCCTCCTCTGCCCTGCATGGATCAACACACAGGAAAAACTGATTACTAAGATTGGTGCTTAAACCAAATTTTCTACGATAACTATGAAAAAGATAAAAGTACTTGCAAGTAAACTGAATCCAAGTACAGAACCTCAAACGATGGCTCTGCTGTGGGACTGCAATCGACGTGAATATAAATTTTCCCTTGGTCAGGATGCGCTTGACTTGGTTTTCCAAGTTCCGCCTGAAATAAGAATTTAATAGGACAAATGAAACAACTTACATGACAAAATTACTCATCCGATGATTATCAAGGAAAAATCAAGATAGCATAGAACATGTGTTTCAATGTCTGGATTGTAATAATACCTTGACACCGGCAATAACATCAGTTGGACCCAACTTGATTCTTGCAGATCCATTTGCCTTGTAAGAACAACAAAGTTCAATATTGAGCTTGAGTTGTTGTAAAAGAAACATTCAACGACGAAAAGCTGATATAAAAGAAAAGGATTCTACCTGAGGAATAACACCTGTTTCCACATAAATTGGTCGATAAGTTAGTCGCTTTCTACCATCATTGCGCATATCCTGGGCAATACCACCCTTAATAAAGTTTTTTTCTCCAATAGATAGCCCTACCATCTCTGCAGGTGAATGAAAAACTATACACAATTACTCCTTATACCACTTCATAATATTGGCAGAAGGATTAGGGTAAATAATCTATAGGGATGGCAATTAAGGCGGATCAGGGCGGGGCAGGTCTTGACCCACTAAGATTTTAACCCACCATGCCCCGCCTCGTTTAGCTTTTTTCAAAATTTTGCCCGCCCCGCCCCGCCCCGCCCTATTAAGCTCCGTGCTGCCCCGCCCTGTCCCGTTTAGACTCTCTTTCATTTTTTTTCTCTTTATTTTTTATTTGGCAGTATGTTTAAATTTTTTTACTTTTCAATTGTCTATTGAAACATTTAAAATTGACTGTTGACATGTCAATAAGTGTTGTTTATGTATATCAATTGAATCAAATATGGCTTTTGTCAATGTTATATAGCTTATTAACGAGTAAATCCCCTTAAATTAATGCTTCAGCCCAAGTAAACGGCTAACTGCTTCACCTTTGGAACTGTTTGTTTACTTCAGTTATCATATTCCTTTATTAAGTTAGTAAACTTTGTAAAATTGAACGATGAAGCATCACTTTCAATCATTTCATTAGCTTTTAAAATACAACATCAATTTATTAAATTCAATACAATAATAACTAGACGTAGATTTTCAAGTTTTGAAAGTTAAAACTAGTTCGCCACCAGCCAATAGTCCATACATTGAGGTTATATGATTAAGGTAATAGGATACCATAAACTAAAAATGACCAACTAAGGGGCAGCCTGGGGAAGGGCCGCTAAAAATGACCAACTAAAGCTCCCGCTATGCGCGAAGTCTGGGGAACGGCCGGACCACAAGGATCTATTGTACGCAGCCTTACCCTGCATTTGTGCAAGAGGCTCGAACCCGTGACCTCGTGATCACATGGAGATAACTCTACCAGTTATCTGGAGACTCCCCTTCTTGACTTGTAAATAACTATTCGGTCTAAAACCAGCTGTACACTATTAAGCAATTTCAGCAACTCCAACGTTCCAATTCTCACCTAAATCTGCTTTAAAGGAACTCAGTTTTCTTAAGGCACAAATTCCCAGCAACGGTTTTAACAAAACTCAGCAATTAACTGGTCCAAACACTCACAACATTGTCAAATTCAGTTCATTATTTAACCAAAAATGGTTTAAACTGCAGCTAACAAAGAAGAATTATCAATTTTAAAACTTGTCAAACAGCAGGTATTCAAACATAGTTGTTGCTATAAATACAAAAAAGTTTTCCCTCTGTATTCTTTTTGTTCCCAGAAATAAGGTGAAGCTAAAAATGCCAGAAGCAAAAAATAAGTTCAGAACACCTAGAGAAGTTGAAAGTAAAAGAGTATTACCTTGTAACTTATTGAGTTGTTGGGGATTGAATTTTGCCTGGAAGAACTCGAGAACAGAAGAGAAGAATGGTTACCGGGTTTGAGGGTTTCGGCCGTTGGAAGAGCTGAACTGCCGAAGAGGCTTTATCGGCGGTGACCGGCGGCCGGCGACAGGATTAACTAGCGGTTAAACCCTAACTTCCCCCAATTCTGAAAGCAACTGAGCAAAAGGCAGTCCTAAACCCTTTTCTTAACAGTAGGCCGCCTCTTGAACTAGCGACCTACCTTTCTGCTTTTTCTTTTTTCTTTTTCTTGGGAACAATTAATATATATAATTAATGCATGTATAATATACCCGTTTTTTGTGCCACATTTTAACTTGTGTCTGCTTTGCAAAAAAAATTGTAAGTGTACCCGCTTTTTCACATAACTTCAGCCCACGGGGCTGAAGTTTTTCTTTTGTACTGGAAAACTTCAGCTGAAGTTTTTGTCTTTGTAACCGAAAAACTTAAGCAGTTTTCCAGCTTAAGTTTTCCAGTTATAAAATAAAAACTTAAGCAGTTTCCAGCTTAAGTTTTCTAGTTATACAATAAAAACTTAAGCTCTAGAGCTTAAGTTTTCCTAAGTTATAAAATAGAAACTTAAGCAGTTTCCAGCTTAAGTTTTCCAGTTATAAAATAAAAACTTAAGCAGTTTCCAGCTTAAGTTTTCCAGTTATAAATAAAAACTTAAGCAGTTTCCAGCTTAAGTTTTCCAGTTATAAAATAAAAACTTAAGCAGTTTTCCAGCTGAAGTTCTTATTTTATAACTGGAAACTTAAGCTCTAGAGCTGAAGTTTTCCAGTTATAAAACAAAAACTTCAAGCTCTTTCCAGTTATAAAATAAAAACTTCAGCTCTAGTTTTCCAGTTATAAAATAAAAACTTCAAGTTTTTGTGTTGTAACTGAAAAACTTCAGCTCTAGAGCTGAAGTTTTTGTGTTGTAACTGGAAAACTTCAGCTCTAGAGCTGAAGTTTCTATGTTATAAAATAAAAACTTCAGCTCTAAAGCTGAAGTTTGCCAGTTATAAAATAAAAACTTCAGCTAGAGCTGAAGTTTCCTTAAAAGTTATAAATAAAATAAAAGCTTCAGCTCTAGAGCTGAAGTTTTTGTTTAGTAACCCGGAAACTTCAACTCTAGTTATAAAGAGCTGAAGTTTTTGTTTAGTAACCCGGAAACTTCAGCTATAGAGCTGAAGTTTCTCAGTTATAAAGGGAAGCTGAAGTTTTTTAAAAAGTGGGTACGGAT